CCCCAAAACCCCAAAACCCCAAAACCCCAAAACCCCACAAAGAGTATCCAGAGTTGAATAGTACCATAAAGGAGCATTATTAGCACTTCATTAAAAGATGCTCATCTTTTCCTGGTGACCTGAGGATAGATGGTAGCCTATGAACCTATGCTCACACCTGACCAGTCCTGACAACATTCTGGGATCGTTGAAATTATTCATTGCCTTAATTTTAGAAGAATTTATCCATCTTAGTGAGTAAAACGACTTCTGAAGGGTTTATTAGCCATCTTTTGAGCTAGCAGAATTATCCGTGATTTCTCTGAGTGAAAATTATTATATGAAAATTGTGACAATTTAGTATGGTAAATTACTGATTTTATAGAGCCTCATGCTAGATATTTCTGAAAATTCTGAGATTTAAATACTTGAAAGTTATAAGAGCCTTTTGGGACTCAAATAAATTACAAATTTATCAAACTATTAATTTAAGAATACATATTAACACAGGCCGATACTAAAATTATTAGGTGAACTTGTTATTAAAATAGAGGTTTTCATGAGGCTTCTTCTTCATTTCATCAAGAGCCATTAGTAAGCAATTTTTTGCTAATTTATCACCTCCAAACCTCTCAGAAGATACAAAAATCACCTAAAGCCGGTGGTTCCTGATCCTAGCTTAATATTTTCAAACAAAACCCCTAAACTGTTTCCCCAATATTTTATTTCTTGCTATAAAGGTCTTATCAACTTCGATTACTCTTAATTAAATCATTTTTAAACATAAAGTTGGTAAAGATCTCTTCTATCTCTCTGAGCATGGATCTAGGCTAATAAACTAAGGGTTGAGTGATATTTCGTTGTTATCACCTGAAAACCTGGTTTAAAGGTAGAGATTTTATGCTAATTTGATCGAGCAAATGCAATGACTGCCTCACCGCGAAAATATTAACTATTAGAACCCTCTTTTCAGCTTTAATAAGATTCATATGCTGTTCTCAGAAAATTCATAGTTTATGACAAAATAGGAAACTCGATATAAAACTAAAGATAGCTAGAGATATAAGCATTGCTAATAGGCTAATTTTGTAATTATTATAGACCATGACTCTTTCCTGGTGACCAACATTTTGCTATAAGAAATCTGGGTATTTTAAAAACTTTACCTCCGAACGTTCGGCCTAACGTAAGCAAATTTGTATTGTATATAATTCATAATTATTTCAAACCTTTCTGAAGTCGGTTTAATAATTTACTTAAGGTCTTCTGCTTGAAGCCATTGCTGAGATCCATTTTCATACGTTGCTGACCTTTTCCCAGAAGGACCGACTTGGAGACACTTCATAACTGTCTTGTGAGCCAGTGTCCTTCTAATTTAACAGGTGGGACTTATTATAATAAACACTGGCCGTGCATAAAATTCCCCTTAAAATACTAAAAAAATTCCTGATATGTCTCTTAAATTACCTAAAGTGAAGTTCTATAAAATAATTTGAGTGCCTTTCCGTGATAGGGAAGGACTTCTGACTAACTACATCAGAAGTTCTTCCCGATGTTCAAGGATCTTATAATAATTCCAAGAAAATCTTATCTCTAACAGGTTAATTTAAGACTGAAATAAAATGAAAATATCAGATATTGTCAAAGTTTTAAAGAGATAAATTAAGGTTATTTGGAAGCTCTCTCGTCTTCCTCAGCTTGTAAATGCTTCTTCATATGCTTCTTCAGATTACCCTTCTGGGTAAACCTAGAAGGGCATAGCTGGCAAGCAAATGGCCTCTCTCCTAGGTGCATACGAGCATGATCGACGAAGTTCCAAGCTTTAATGAAGGTTTTAGAGCATCCTGCATATCCACAATGAATTATCCTCTTCTTCCTGTTTGGACCTCAGCTTGATACATAACTGAATTCATATTTATATTTCTTTAAGATGTCAGGAGTCTCATTGGTCAGAAGTCCTTCCCGATGACTTGTCGGTTTAGATTTTTCCTTTTTCTCGACAAACGTACTGGATTGCCCTTTGGAGCTGCCAGTTTCAGAAATGCATTCAGTACTATGAGCAGTAAATTTTGGGATATCTTCATTGTTCAGAGACTCACAAAGAGTATTGAGTGGCTTGAGCTGGCATTTAGCTGGAATTCCTGTATAAAAAGGTTATTTGAATCTTTTAAGCATGCATGAAAAAGTGAAATAAACTTAAATAAACACTCAACTAGTAATTGTCGAAAATTAAGGTATAGTCATAAATTATCACTTTCTGTGTATGCGATGAGGTGTTTTTAGACTCTTCCAGGTATAAACAGGACTAAAAGTTAGGAAGAACAACTGTTGGTTGACTCCAGAATACATAGTACCAAAAATAAACGTTTGGTTAGCGGAAACCTAATACCCTCCCTCATTGACATAAATAGCCAAAATAGTAAGTCTAAACTTCAGTCTAGATATTTCTTCAGAAGTTTTTTAATTAAAACTTGAGTTTTGCCTCATCTGAGACCAAAAGACATCAATTAATGGAACAAACTTAATGATCTTACCTGCTGGAGGGGTGGAGGAATCAAGAACCGGCACGAAACTTGCTCTATTATTGGGCGATTCCAAACCATTAATGAAGCTTAAGTAAGCTATAAGAGTCAGAACGAATAAAAGTACCTTCAATCGGTGGCATTTCAAGCAATCTCATTGGCATAGAGAAAGAAGTAGCTGAGGGGTTGACTCCTCCATAGAGATGGCTGCCATGCCATCCCATAGAGCTTTGCCTCATTCCTGAGTCATTTGAACAATATTGATTGAAATTGATGGTGATAGGCTGCATGGTTGATTTCTATAGCCAAAATGTTAGATAAACTCTTCCAGAAGATATTGATCCACTTACTTTTTATCTTTAAATTTCAAGAATTTTTTGAATATATGGGGTTTTGGGGTTTTGGGGTTTTGGGGTTTTGGGG